TAATTTCATAAATTAAAATACCGTTAAAAGGTGTCAACACTCGGTCAGGTTACCACAATGTTGTGTGGTAGTACTGATCCAGACCAGCGGCTGGGCAGTTATAGTCTTTCTGTATTCAGAACTAAGAATTATAAACTGATAGGGGGACTAAAAATGTTTTTTACCTATTTCAGCAACGGAAACATTGCGACGATCAGACTTAAGAGAGCGGTTAAAGAGCTTTCGATGATCTCGGCTTACATGCCGCATGACGATGACGAATACGTGAAGGCAGAGGGAAGCCTCTTTCGAACTATGCTGCCTTAGGTTACCTTAGGAACGAGGCAAGTAGCTGGACTATGAGAAATGAGGAGTTCCTAAAGCTTATCCTTGATGCCTATTCTGCCTTCCAAGAAGGAGCCTCTGCCAGGTCAAAGCACGAAAAAATCACTGCCCTCCGAAGTTCTGGATAATCATCGTCTGGTATAACTTTGAAGTCCTCGACACCGAACACATTATACTTTCACAGCTGGGAATGGCCGTAGCAGTATTAAGGCTACCTTTCATAAATATACGAATTTCCGTGCGAAATCTTCTCAACGAGCTTCCATTAAGGGAAGGCTAGTGGATGATAGAAAAAAGCTTAACTGATTAGCATTTGCCGTAGAGGTATCGACATCAAGGGTTCCTATAAAAACATCCAGCTGGATGCAGTATTTAATTCATTGAATTATCTCGGGGTTGAATTACACCCGACCACAACTTTCTCTGTAAGGCTTGCTTGCATCATAGATTCAAATCAGCTCTTTGTCAACATAAATTCCCCCAAGGGACGACAAGTTGAGTCGAATCGACTGGAGAGAAGAAGCATGAATGGATAGGCCTTCTTCCGGAAAAAAGAGTAGTGAGCTCACTAATGATGAGCTCAAAATTGGCCAGGGAGTGCCTGATCTCCTACTGAATTTCTTCGGAACATTTTCTAATCAGACGTATATGGATACTAGACTACATTGATGTTGCAGGAAACTTCATGGCGGACGAGTTAGCGAGAAAGAGTACCCTTGAAAAATTTTCACCGCATTTGGAGCGGGTGGGAACAGCGGTGGGCACTTGTGGTTCACTCTTGGGCAGCTGGTCACTTTTTTACAAAATCGAACATTCTTCAAAATGAGAGCTGAACAAAGCTGCTGCGATGCTCAGCAATGAAGGCGTAAGCCCAATTCCCGAGGAAAAATAATGAGCATGTTCAAGTGAAGCTTTAAATATAAAAACATGTTATGGCATCTGTTTGTTGACTTATCAGTAGTTGAACCAGGTGTGCCAAAAATATTTTTGAGGAGGGTTGCCACCTGTTTAAAAAATTGTATTCAATTACTAGATTGATAAAGTAAATGAAATATTAAAATACGGGTATCAAACTAAATTAAATTTTCAGTATTAAATACCTTCGAAAATATATTAATTAACACCCTTATTCATAAAAAAATAAAGTACGTTTCATAAATCGAAAATTTGTTTGAAAATCTAGCTTCGTAATGCTCTTCAAATCTATTTTGTTTTTTATGAATGAAGCCATACGAGTTTTGGGATGGAGTTACAACACAAAAATACTTTTAAGTGAAGCACGCCGGGTAGTTGCTAAATTTTTATAAAAGATGTTCATTTGAAATAATAACACGGTTCCACAAAATTTTGTCGTATTTTATCTGGAAAACGGGGCCGGCCTCATTTTATAAATTTTTTAATGCTGATCTGAAGGGCATTTACAATTTTTTAGCACGTCCAGTTTTTGATAAAAAAAAAAACTGTTAAAGTGTCGAAAAATGGCAAAAATTGCAAATTTTGAAAAAAAAAAATTAAAAATAGAATTCGGACGTCGTTTTTCATAAGAAAAAAAACACGTACTAGTGATGATGGATTCTACCCCATGTCGATGGATTGAGTAGAAAGTGGTGAAAGACAAAAACACGTAGTGAAAAAAAACATGCACCCTATGCAGAAGTGATATGATAGGAAATCAAAGTCCACATGCTTGCTGACTATTGCTGAACTTTGAAAAGCGATGATAATGCGATTCAAAAAAAAAAAAATTTTCAGGATTTCATTCCTGATTGCGGAAAGTGCTAAGAGACCAAAGACTGGCTTATGATGATTCTGGGATTTTCATTAATACGTGTTTTTATTTTGGGGAAAAACTATGTCCAAGTTCTGCTTAAAAAAAAATTTAAATTAGCCATTTCTATCAAAAACTGGACGTACTACAAAAATTTTGTAAATGCACTTCAAATAGCATCAAAAAACCTATAAGGTTTTGTTGAACCGTGTAATAGGCCGCGTTCTTGTTTTCGTATGAATCGAGAATTTGAAATTTTTGTATAGAAATATAAGAGGAAAATTTAAAATTTTCGAAGAATACGGCTCGTTATCTCATATCTACTATCTTTAAACTGGGAACTTCGCATGCGCCCTCTGATCTTTCCTTCATAATGCTATCGAAGCTTCCGCTCCACTTTCAAACACTTCTCAAGCACTTCAAATTCCTGTGAAATAGAATATCGAGACCAAATGCGCATACTTAAAACTGCAAATGCCATATCCAATAACCATGGAAAGTAAATATGTTCATATGTAGGCACATTAGGGTGGTACTTAAAATATCAACATTTACGTACATCCAAAAAAATTGCATGGTTTAAAAAAATTTTAGGCGTCGCTACCAGGGTTAAAAAAAAATATTCATGGTGGCCTTAATATATCAGTTTTCAAGACACAATTTTGTAGAATTTTTGCGATTTTGTTTTTAATTTAATTTTTTTCTAACCCAGGTAGCAACCCCTAAAAAGTTTTATAAAAAATTTTAAATTTTCGTGGGTGTCTTTAATTTGTACGTAGAACCAAATAAAGGGTGCTCCTACACAATTTTGATGTTGATGTTTTAAGGACCACCCTAATGTCAAGTACCCGTACATCTTCACGCTTTCAACGTAAACAAATGAGTGGAACAGTTTGAAAGAACCATTGCGGCGCGCCCGGCTTAAGTAGTTATTTGGTGCATTCGCCGCTAGGCAACCACAAATAAATAAATAAATATACAGCTCCAATGATACGATGTAGGCGAATGTGGGCACTTGCAGACAAAATGGAAACTTATTTTTTCCGCTACTTTGTTTTGCGTTTATTTAACGTCGCACAAAGTCGCTGCTCTCATATTTCATATCCCCATACACAATACCCCTCTCAATGCCCTTTGACAAACACTCTCATATAAAAAAATAAATTGCCCAGCAGACGGCCTTTGGCAGGCACTGCCGATGTGGGTTGTTGCAAATTACGATATTTCAGCGAATTTGGCCAACGTGGCATGAATGAAAATATGCGAGCGCCAAAAAAAAGGTATTAAAAAGGTAGATATTAAATTTCTCAACTGTGATTAAAATCGCTAGAGCTACTGTAAACAACACTTCAAATTGAATATTTATGCAGAGTGTGAAATATACGAAAAGTGTAGAGTGGCTTTAAGAACTTTGGAAAACATCAAAAGCTCATTAGGAAGCGTCGATTCTTTTTAGGAATTCGTAAGAGAGTTTGAAGGTTGTATTATGAACAAGATTTATCGAAGTATATAAAAGGGCTATGGTTAGGCTGAATGGACCATAATTAGTTTTAGGAAAGGCGCTGCTTGAGATTGTAGTTCCACAGTCTGCTGATGTCAGCCCCCGAAGAGCTTTTCAGAGCTATTTACTTTTTCCTTCATCTCCATTCAAGCCGGCTGTGAGTTCTGAATGTGAATTTGCGCCAAATTCAAATAATATAGTTCTATATCCTTAAATCGGCAACAATTATTTATTTTTTAAATTAATTCTTCAGTTCCTACTCAAACGCAAATAGGATAAAATG